GGCCGTGCTCGGGACTACACCCTGATGCGCACGGGCTCCGCGGCCCACCGACGCGGCGCTAACCGGGGCCGGTGCCAGTCCCGCCGCGAACTCACCCCGCTTCTCACGGAAGCGGACTCAGAAGCACAAGGGTTTAGGCCGTGGTCAGCAGCCAGCACAGCGCCAGGCACCGGCAGCAGCAGGGTCGTGACCAGGCCCGAGATGCGGGGCTTACCTTCCCGGGTCCCCCGCGCTCGGCGCCGTCACCGCAGAACCGAGACCGCACTCACGCCGGCCGAAGGGGGCTCCCGCCGAGCGCGCACCGCGAGAACGCCGCACCCCGTCCGCCGAGGCTTCACTGACCCCCTCCCGGCGCGGGGCACTCTGCGGGAGGCCCCGCGGCTGCTCCGCCTTTTCTGGCCTCCGGGCTCGCGGCCCAGCCCAGACCTAGAAATACCTCCTGCCCCGCGTCCGCCTGCCCAGAACGGGACTTCCTGCCGGAGACCCGCGCGGCCTTTGTCCGCCTTCCACGCCGGGAGAATGAGTCCGTAAGTCGGGGGCACCGCACCGCTGTCTTCCGGCGGCGGCACGCGGGCGCTGGCGCGGTCCTCCGCCGGCCCCCGACGCTGCACAGCCTCCTGTGAGCGGGAGTAAGACGCCAACTCTCCACGCACCGAGCAGGAAACAGGAGACGAGGGCTCCCAGCGCGCCGTGTATCCGCCGCAGGAAAGCGAGGCCGCGGCTCTGACGGCCAGCGGGAAACACGCACGCCTTCCTCTCGCAGGGACTGTGCGGATCAGTGCACAAGCTCAGCAGGCGGCTGTGTCGTCCCTTCCCTCAGGGCCTTCGCCCAGCCTGATCCCTTTGCTGGGAGGTGCACCCCAAGTGTCCACCGGTCCCTGCGTGTGGCCCTGCCCCTGGGCTCTGGGGAAGTTCTACACCAACATTTACCCAGGTCAGAAGACTCGTTCAAACCTCGGGCCGCGGGCTCTTTTTCTAGCCCCAGCAGTCTGTACATCTGCCTCCCTGCAGAAAATAACCAAAAAGGAGCATTCTGAACAAAAGGCATGGATGTCCCTGGTTGCTGTGAGTCAGGCAGCCTGCGGACACTAGAAGAGGAACATAAGCCCTGCGGCTTGCTGAAATGCCCTTTGTCTAATGATTTGTAACTTCTGTAAAAACTGAATCTGGCCCTACACCAAGTGCCCCCTCACCAGAGCACTCCTTTCGTCATGCACACGGTATTCTGGGCAGTAGCCCTAACTTGGGTTTGAATTAAAAACTCTCCCTTTTTAAAAGAAATTCTAAAAGGTTTGTTCATTTTGCATCAACATCTCTTGGCACAGCTGTAGGATCTGAGTCACTTGCCTACCAACACCGGGGGGTCATCTGGAAATGGGTGCTTGGGACCAGCATGGCCCCTCACGCCCCTCTAACCTCAGCCCCTCACAGGTGTACCTGCTGAACTCTCCGGACATCCAGGCCTGACTCTGACTTCAGCTGTTGAGGGTTACTGGTAATGTTCTCTAGGTGGGACTAATCTGGGAGGTAGTTTATGGGTCGTTTGTCTTAATTTGGTGTTATCTAATTGATGTTATTAATATAAGGCTGGAATAAAATTTTCTGGCTGGAAAAATGAAAGACTGAATCATTCAAATGAGAAGAGAAGGGACACCTGCTCCTTCTAGGCACATGGTGCTTTCAGGCGACTGAGAGCCTCGAGGAAGTGTCTGAGGATACTCCTCGAGATGCCGAGCTCTCCCACAGGATTTCCCACCTCAAAGGCAACGAAGGATTGGTTTGCCCGGGGATGCACACATAAGGACAGGCCATCAGTGTAGTGAGCACCTTTGGTGGTCTTGGGCCTTGCTGGGAAAAACCAAGGCACGTAAGAGACAGACGTGCAGCACTCTCTTGATCCACATCTAATATCCTTAGATCTGACTCAAGCCTAGTCTACAACTGAAACGGAGACTAAAAGGAACAGGGAACCATGTTTCAAAACCACTGGAAAAGCAACAACTGCCCAGAGAACCACGGCAGGCTTTCTGAACAATGCATACATGCTTTTATGTGCAAGTACTTCCTAATTTACAGATAACCTGAGTCTCAGACGGCCCAGGTGGCGTTCTTTCGTCACGTCCGAGTATCTTTTGTGCACACCATGAGAGAAAGCCAGCTCTAAGACTAAGCAATCAGGAAAGCCCCCAACTTTGGGGAGGAACGAACACTCACAAAGATACTCTGGGTTTCATTTGGTTTGTTTCTGCTGTAGCTTTTGGTATCTTTGCACCAAACAGGCCATGTTCTAATTGGAAAATGGAAAATAACTAATTAATAGATTCATAAATTATAGTGTTATCTTATAACTAATTTTAATAAAGGGGATATATGGAAATTGAGTCTTTAATGTTTTCTTCACAAATACTAGTGAAACTGTTAGAGCAGCAGTTAATGAGGCTCCACACAGACGCCCGGAGGCCAGCAGGGAGACCAGGGGCCCTGGGGTCTCAACTCAGCACATCCCAAGGAGGCGGCCATGGCCAGCTGTGGGGAGTCAGAGGCCCATCCAGGCAGTATCTGCAAGAAGCCGGATCCCACCAGACATGCCCACATGGCGCCACGACTGGAAACCTCTGGTCAAATAAGAAAAAGGCACAAAATCCTGCTAGCAAGAAATCCCCACCTCCAATAATGAGTATCTCCCTCCCTTAAGGGTAAATAAAAGGTAAAACTCCAACCCAGGAGGGCAGCTCTTTCTCTCAAGCCGGCCTGCTCGCAGGTCTCGAGTGGACTCTGCTTTACTAAACTTTCCTGTTTGTGTCACGCTCATCTGCTGTGCTGCATGTCTGTCCTTGAATTCTTCCTCACAAGGAGACCAAGAGCCTCTAGTGACATCTTTGGGGTGTGCTGAGTTGAGACCCCACAGCCCCCAGTCTCCCCAGTTCACCAGGCAACATCTGAACCAGATCGCTGGAACAGAATCCATAAAAATAAATAAAACATTCCCAAATTCCCCCTTCAATTTTCTCCTCGTGGCAGGACTGCCCCTTCAGGCCTTTCTTCCCCTAGCCCGCCCCACCCCACCCCACTGGGAGGCCTCTCCTCCCTCTGCTCTACTTCTTTACCCCTCTGGCCTCTTGTGGCTGCTCCGCCCTCGGTGAGGAGGGGAGAAGGGAAGCAGCTGCGCGAGCACTGGGGGCTGAGTGCCCGGAGGGACCGAGCTGGAGCTGAGTGTCACCGCGGGGAAGGACACCGCAGCAGAGACCGCACGTCCTGAATGGCGGCCAGCCCCAGGGAGGGCCGTGGGGGAGGCCCGCGGGTCTGCAGTGTGGTCAGAAGCAGGGGGCAGTGCCGCCCCCCTGCCCCGCCCACCCCTCCTCCCAGCCCCCGCACGGAGAGGACAAGTAGCTGCCGCTGTTTCTCAAACCCACGCGCCCACTGCAATCCGGAGCAGCTCCCTCGTCCTCCTGCAGGGAGCATGGGTTCAGGGGTTCCACGCTGCTGCTCCTGGAGGATGCGGGGGTAAGGGGGGCGGTTGCTGGGAAGAGGCACGCACAGCTGAAGCACCACATCTGCGTCCAGGGCTGCAGGTGGTGCTGACGCTCTGAGCGCCTCTGGAATCAGCAGCAGCGGCGGCACGGGGAGCTGGCCGAAAACGCAGCGTCCTGGCCTCCGTTCTGAGCTTCTGAATTCGCCTCTGTTTTAAGAACCCAACTGATTTGTAGCTACTCTAAAATCTGATACATATTCCAAATAATCTGAATTTAGCTAGTTGTTCTATTCACAAATAAAACAGTCAAGGAATATTAAAGAGGTTTTTTTGCTGTGGTCCCTAAAGTCTAAGGAAAGCCATATATACATACATGCACACGCACTCTTCTAACTTTTTATAAACTCCAATGATAAAGGTTTAGCACAGTACACTTCTAAGCTGAACTTTTATCTCCTCTCTCAGGAAGTCCAGCTTTGGATTTTGGCGCCGGGAAAAGTATATGAGCCGAGACACTTACTACCCTAGCCAGTCCCAGCAACTCCTCCTCCACTCCTCAGACGGGCCCATCTCTTCATAAATCCAAGTGCACGTTTGCGGAGCGCTGCTGTAAATGTTTTAAAGTTTGCATTAATTTAATATCTGTTTAAATTAGCTTTCTTATTAAAATAGCTGAAATCTCTAATTCAAGCGCCCTGTGAGAAGGGCACAGGTAATCACCCCCGGTACAGAGGGGGAGATGCACGACATGCAAAGTCATGCAAAGTCATGCAAAGTCGCCCGGCTCACACGTGGAGGGGCAGGATCTGAACCCAGACTGTCTGGTGCCAGAGCCCGTGTGTCACTCTGACAGTTCATGGCCCAGGCCTGGTGGTCTCCGCAGCTGCTCCTACTCACGGAGTCGCAGGACGCTGCCTACAAGGGCCCCCGACTAACCTCCAAAAGGGCCGCGGCGGGGGCGGGGAGGGGGGGATGATGGGGGCAGAAAGGCTATGAATGAAAGCGTTTTAGAGTGTGCTCGTTTTCAAGTGTCCCCTTATCATCTGTAACAAACCAGAGGCCTTCAGCACAGTAATGACCTGCACTTGGATAGCAAGGGCTTGCCACTCCAAACTGCCAGGATGGAGGTGTCCCAGCTCAGGTAAGGCCATGCTGCCACCCCTTCCGATGGACGCACGGGACAGATCATCTACCACAGTCCTTGGGGAGACCCTGGCGATGGTCCCCCATGCAAAAGGCAAGGATTCTTACTCCCAGAACTTCAGTGTGTTGAAAATGTTAACTTTTGGGGCGCCTGGGTGGCTCAGCTGTTAAGCATCTGCCTTTGGCTCAGGTCATGATCTCAGGTCCTGGAATCGAGCCCCGAGCCTCCACAGGAAGCCTGCTTCTCCCTCTCCCACTCACCCTGCCTGTGTTCCCTCTCTCGCTGTGTCTCTGTCAAATTAATAAATAAAATCTTAAAAAAAAAAAAAGTTAACTTTTACAGGGGGGAGAGAAAGCCTCCCATCTGAATATCCCTTGAACTCACCCGGCCTTTGAAAAGTACGCACAGATACCAGTCCCACAGAGCTGCACAGTGCTCAGTATCACTCAAGAACAGCCCCTCCGTACCAATTTATTTCCAGGTAAGTTTTGGTCCCTTTTTAGGAGGATCCTCAGAAATGAAGCGAGGGACGGGGAGGACGAGGCTGCCAGGCAACCGCCACACCCACAGTCACCGCGGAAACGCAGCCCAGGATGCAGACGAGCTCCTCGTTCCAGAGCAGAATAAAGTTGGTAAAAACAAAATACGCCGCCCAAAAATCTTCCTTTCCTAGATGGCCCCACTCAAGGGTCTGGGGGTGCACGGAATGAGGCCAGCTTGGCAACGGTGTGGGTTCTGAAATGCCGAACGAGGTTGCAGTGGTGGCCGAAGGCCTTCCCGCACTGCTCGCAGGCAAACGGCCGCTCGCCGGTGTGGCTCCTCTGGTGCTTGACGAGCAGCGTTCTCCGGCTGAAGCACTTGCCGCACTGGCCGCATGGGTAGGGCTTCTCCCCCGTGTGCACGCGCAGGTGCTGGAAGAGCCCCGCGTTCTGGCTGAAGGCCTTCCCGCACTCGGGGCAGCGGTAGCGCTTCTCCCCGGTGTGGATCCTCTGGTGCTGCGCGAGGTACGAGCTCAGGCGGAAGGCCTTCCCGCACGCCTCGCACTCGTACGGCTTCTCCCCCGTGTGGATCCTCCTGTGTCTGATGAGGCCGTTGCTGGCGCTGAAGGCTTTGCCACACTCCTTACACTTGTAGGGTTTCTCTCCAGTGTGGCTCCGCTGGTGCTCGATCAGGCCCGACCTCTGGCTGAAGGTCTTCCCGCATTCTTCGCACTCGTAGGGCTTCTCCCCCGTGTGGGTTCTCCGGTGCTGGACGAGGACTGAGCTCTGAGTAAAGCCTTTCCCACACTCACTGCACCTGTGCCGTCTCTCTCCGGCCGCCTGTCCCCTCTGCTTTTCCGCTCTGCTCTGCGGCGCACAAGGTTCTCTGTACTTACAATCTATGGGGGCATCTCTTAGGAGTCTGCGGTTTCCAAAGCGTTCCACTCCCTTCAAGACTTCCTGCGTCGATGCCAGCTCCTGGCGCTCAGGTACAGGTTCACAACCTGGGAGAATGCACGCGCTGAACTCCACCATCTCTCTCCCTTCAGAAAAGAGCTCAACCACAGGACGGGGCCCAGGGAGCCCCGAGACACACACACGTTCCCAGAACACAACACTGGAGGTGGGAAGGACAGACAGGCTACACGAGGAGACCGGGGCCAGAGCAAGGCCGGCAGCACCGTGGGCATGGCTGGGGCCGAGGCTCCCGAGAGCACATGTGTGAGCAGGCGCCGTTCCCGCTTCACCTGTGATAACTTCTGACACGTCCACACGACTCTGTGACTCAGGGACTGTGACTCTCCGTCCCATGGACACGCAAGCTGAGGGTGCAGGGAGGCTACCTGACCTGCCCGATGTCGCAGAGCTACTAAGCCGCAGTGTTTAAGGGCCAGCCCAGGCCATCTGACCCCAGAGTCCACAGCCGTAACTGGTGCCCTCTGCAGAGCCACCAGAGATCCCGAGGGGACCCAGCCACGTCCTTACCTCGTTCTCCGAGTCTGTGGGGACCCAAAGATTCACCCTGGAGCTGTGTCACCATGGACTGAAGCTGGATGGCTACCGAGTCCTGCTTGGCCTTCAAATGCGGCACATCCTCTGAGAGCATCTCAGAAGGGCCATGCTCGTGAGCCAGGACCTGAAGGCAGGTGGGGACATTTGCGTTCATGAGATGGGACCCAGGAGCCCCGGCTAACGCTCAGTGAAGGACATCGCATGCAACCACGGGAAACACTCTAGAGGAACGGCACAGGGAGAGGCCCAGAGGACGACCCCACATGCCGACAGTGGCCTGGCGTGCTGACACTGCTCGAAAGTGCTGTCCTAAGTTGCTGGACGCGCCTTCCTTTAGAAAGGCGGACCCTGACTCCCCTCTGGAGAGGAAGCAGCTTAGCGACTCATTTCTACAGAGGAGAACCTGGGGCAGAAGCAACGGTCCACAACCTCAGAGACCAAGTCCTACGGAGCGCCGGGGCTCCCTCCTCCTCCTCCCTCTCCCTCTGTCTCTCTCAGGGAAGCCTGCGGACGCGCGAGGACACTCAGTGAGCCCTGAGCGCACACGCACATGGCAGAGAACAAAGCCCCCTGCCGACAGCCGGTGAGCGCTGCGGCCCCTGCCCGCGTCCATGGAGGAGGGGAGCCCTGCTACCCCAGCGCTGCACCCCCTCACGGCGTCTGGGTCCTGACTCCCTGTAGGGCCCTGCTGCTCTGTGCCTCAGTTTCCCGCCCCACCTCAGGAGAGTGGATTAGATCACCCCACCCCCACAGGACTGGTAAAGAGAGACTTCAAGTTAAAAAAAAATCATCACCGCAACCTCAGGAGAGAGCCCCTAACTGGCTTCCTAATACGAGACAATGCTTGCGGGTTTTAAGCCGTGCAGGCTGGAGGCAGACGGTTCCAAGGCACCCGAGAACTGGCCGCAGCCACCCTCCTGCGTCCGCAAACCTCGCCCTGTTCCGTGTCTGGGAAGTGTCTGGGAGCCCGTGTCCCCCTCTCACCTGGTTCTCGGGCTCACTAAGCTCCCGTTCCAGATCTTCGACCACAGCCACCGCCTGCTCCCCGCTCTCCGCCTGCTGCTCCCGCACCCGGGCCTGCAGCTCCTCGGGCAGGATGGTCAGGAACTGCTCCAGCACCAGCAGCTCGAGGATCTGCTCCTTGCTTCGTGTCTCAGGCCGCAGCCACTGGCGGCAGAGCTCCCGCAGCCGGCTCAGCGCCTCGCGGGGCCCCGGGGTCTCTTGGTAACAAAAGTGCCTAAAAAGTTGGCGGGAGGCCTCCTGGGTAGAAAAGCTGTTCTCTTGAAGGCAGGTTTCCTGGTCCCAGATCGCGTCTTCCTCCACCTTCACAATCTTCAGTCCCTCCTGCTCCCCTGCTGAAGCCATTCTAGGGTGAATTCAGAAGGTTCACTCCAGCCGGGGGCCAAGAGGAACCTCATTTAAGATTTCCTGATGTGTTCTTCTTTAGAGGACACACCTGATGATGAAACATCACGTGTTAATGGAAATTAAAAAGTGGGGAAAAGTGAAGGACAGAACAATGACTCACACTCTCATCTAGGTTACGTGTGTAGCATCTGGAGAAAAGTGAATGGCAGCATCCACCAGCTGCCCCCATCCTTCCCTCCTTCTTGTACACCACCCCCCCACCCCCGTGAGTCTGCGCTCAAGCACGTGACCGGATTTGGCCAGGGTGACACCAGCAAATGTCACACAAGCAAAGCCTTGGGAAGTACTCGTGTGACTCGGTAGCTGCCTTGCCCTTTGCCCTCCACAACTGCAAGGAGCATCTGCTTCCTGATGGACAAGGCGTGTGGGACAGGACCCAACACCCCAGCAGGGCAGATGGGGAGTCCCCTCTGCTCAGCCCCAGGAACATGAGCGAGCCCGGATGAGGTCTGCAGAACTGCCTGGCAGACCCACAGGACACTGCAGATACACAAGTAAGTCCTGCGCAGGTCAGCTGAACCCCACAGATTCATGTGCTAAACACTGAAGGAATTAAATTAAATTAAATTAAATTTAAAAAAGAAAGAAAGAAGCACCGACTGCTGCAGGCCACCAGAGATTTATGGCTGTTTGTTACGCCATGCCATCAGGGCAACGAAAACTGACGGCACAGGGGCGGCCCCTGGGGAGTAGGTAAGTGCAGAAGAGAGAAAAGGCAATTTACCTTCACAGAAAACTCTCTGTACTTTTTCTCATTTTTGTACCATTTGAAATACTTATAGAAAGGAAACAAAGAAATAGCAGTGATTGAAAAGGCATCAGGTAGGGAACCGGACACACACGACCAGCGGTTCGATCAGACGACGAGCGCTATCAGAGAGCACTCAGCCAGGTGTCGAGCCCGCGGAGTAGAAAAAGTAATTCCGACTGGGTTCGGAGCAGGGAACGACTGGTGCTTGGGAGCAGGCACGTGTGAACGACGCCCGCAAGAACGGGAACTTCTCAGGCAAGGCCAGGGTGCTGGGAGGGGACTCAACACGACAGGCCAAGCAAACGACAGACCTTGGCTATTTACGGTCACACCGCACAGGGGTCCTGGGGGCCGAACTGCAGACGGCCGGGTGCAGGCAGAAGCGTGTGGAAGTCAGGTGAAGAAAGATACGCCGAACCAGCAAACAGCCTCGAACGCCGGGCTGAGCTGCTCAGACTTGACACTACCGTAAAGTGAGGGGCAGTGAGGCTTGTATTTCACTGTCCCGCAGTAGATCTGTACGAGAGACAGTGCGATTCCGAGAGGAAATGGGAGGAGTATAGGCAGGGCTGTGGCGCTGACATTGGGAGGCTGAATGGTGGCTACACTCGTAGTTCACTTTTATGGTAGAATTTGCGTTTCATATATGACTTCAGCCTGTGTTAATAAATTATTAATGTCTGAGAGAATTTAGAAGTTTTTCAGTGATGCTCCATTGTGGGAAAATGTCTTCATTCCATTCAGGCAAATGCTGTGTGTCCAGCAGACGCCCGGCACAGTGTGGGGTGCCTTGGCCACAGCAGCGAGAGGAAGCAGACCCGGCCCTTGCCGTCCTGGCATTTCCAGGAGGAGAGACAAACGTTCGTGCAATGTTCACGTAAAATTAGGTTACAGAGTTGAGAGCAAGGAGAGTTAATCAAGATTGTGGAGCCTGCTCTTTGCCAGTGTCCAAGGCCAACAACCGCACCGTTTTCACTCATTACCGCAGAATCTGCGTGTCAGGGTTTTTGAGTCTTCAGTTCAGGAAGCCTGTAAATCTGAGAATCCCTAACTATGAGCTTGCACTGAATTTTGTTATTATTGGAAGTGTGTCTTCCCGTGGGGTTAGATTTACAGGCACGAACTGTCATGTGATTGATTATGAGGCCACAACTTCTGCTCCCGACAAACCACGGAGCACCACAAGGCAGGCTCCTCACAGCCCCACTGCCACGGGCGGGGTGGCCTCTAGCTGCTGTGCTGCTCCCCCACAGCTGCTGGGCTTAGGACTGACCTCCTGGTCTGTGCCACTGTGAGCCCTGTCTTTACCCTAGATCCCAGCACGGTGCCACCCAATGCAAGCGCTCCAGGGATGTTCTCAGGATCAGTAACTGAATCATCATTTCATCAAGCTGTGGCAAGGGAAGGGAAGGGAAGAAGAATGGGCAGGCAGACTTTCTCTGTTCTCCCCACGCCTCCGCTGCTCCCAGGATCTGCATGCGTCACCCAGTGCTCCTAACCAGTCCTCCCCTGTCTGTCTCCACTCCAACCAGGTCCCAACCTGCTACAGATCCCAAATACCTCTCATGACAAACACCTAGAGGATTTACAAGTTTAGATTTGCCACGAAATTATGAATGAATCTTTCTCAATGTTTTATTTACCTGATCAATTCAATTATGTGCAATTTGGCATCCTCTGGTGAACCAAATGGAATAAATTCTTTAAAATCGTCTTTAGAGAAACAGTGCTGCACAGCAATGTTCAAATCATACAGCCTCTCTCAAGTGGGACTGACCAAAGCACCCCTCTCAGAAGACTGTTGTGACTGCAGAAGAATGAAACTGGACCATTTCCTTACACCAAACACAAAAAAAGACTCAAAATGGATAAAGGACCTCAATGTGAGATAGGAATCCATCAAACTCCTTGAGGAGAACACAGGCAGCAACCTCTTCGACCTCAGCCACAGCAACTTCTTCCTAGAAACATCATCAAAGGCAAGGGAAGCACGGGCAAAAATGAACTATTGGGGCTTCATCAAGATCAAAAGCTTTTGCACAGCAAAGGAAACAGTCAACAAAACCAAAGACAACTGACAGAGTGGGAGAAGATATTCGCAAATGACATATCAGATAAAGGGCTAGTGTCCAAAATCTATAAAGAACTTAGCAAACTCAACACCCAAAGAACAAAGAATCCAATCAAGAAATGGGCAGAGGACATAAACAGTCATTTCGGCAAAGACGACATCCAGATGGCCAACAGACACATGAAAAAGTGCTCCACATCACTCAGCATCAGGGAAATACAAATCAAAACCACAGTGAGATCCCACCTCACACCAGTCAGAATGGCTAAAATTAACAAGTCAGGAAATGACAGATGCTGGCGAGGATGCAGAGAAAGGGGAACCCTCCTACACTGTTGGTGGGAATGCAAGCTGGTGCAACCACTCTGGAAAACAGCATGGAGGTTCCTCAAAAAGTTGAAAATAGAGCTACCCTACGACCCAGCAATCACCCACAAATACCCAGTAAATACTGGGTATTTACCCTGAAGATACAAATGTAGTGATCCGAAGGGGCACGTGCACCCAAATGTTTGTAGCAGCAATGTTCACAAATAGCCAAACTATGGAAAGAACCTAGATGTCCATCAACAGATGAATGGATAAAGAAGATGTGGTATATATATACTATGGAATACTACGCAGCCATCAAAAGAAATGAAATCTTGCCATTTGCAACGACGTGGATGGAACTAGAGGGTATTATGCTAAGTGAAATAAGTCAATCAGAGAAAGACAATTATGATATGAACTCCCTGATATGAGGAATTTGAGAGGCAGGGCAGAGGGTTTGGGGGGTAGGGAAGGACAAAATGAAACAAGATGGGATCAGGAGGGAGACAAACCATAAGAGACTCTTAATCTCAAAAAACAAACTGATGGTTGCTGGGGGAAGGGGGGTCGGGAGAGGGTGGTTGGGTTATGGACATTGGGGAGGGTATGTGCTATGATGAGTGCTGTGAAGTGTGTAAGCCTGGCGATTCACAGACCTGTACCCCTGGGGCAAATAATACATTATATGTTAATAAAAATAATTTTTAAAAAAAGAAGACTGTTGTGATAATTATATAACGAAATGCATATTAAAAGCTCAGCACACCTGTTACGCTGAAAAGAAAGAAAAAAAAAAGCTCAGCATAGTATCTGGCCCACAGCAACTGCTAAACTAATTACTAATTACCTGGTATTCTTAGTAAAGCAGTATTAATGAGTTGAATATCCTCTTTTATAGAGGAAATAGGACAAACAAAATAAAACATTGAATACATAGGCCAATATTCAGGAGGTAATTGAAAATCCTGGAAGAAATATTCAAGAATGGTCAAGACAGACTAAATGACCTGCAGTGACCTTCCATATGTGTGCTGAAGCCTACCTCTAGATCCCAAGAGGGACATAACCCTGAAAATCCCAATGGCAGCTTAAAAGCAACAATCTGAAGGTTGGATTCAGATTTCCAGAGTAACATGGCACAGCTGGTTACCTCTGATTACCAACTGGCTCCAAACATTAGGAGATGATATGTTAAAAAAAAATGAAGAAAAGGACATGGCCAGCCATAAATACAAGATAAAAATGACAGTGGACCAGAAACAGACACAAAGAGCAGCAAGTGCAGTAAAGCTACAGGCTAATGGGTCTGTAAGCAGCCGGCGCCAGCCTAGAATTCAGCTCTGGAGGGATTAAAGATTCGAGGTGACGGTGCTGTGTGACAGAGTGCAGGCATCCAGGCTCACTTTCTGACGCCAGGAGCATCAAGGGAGTTCCACACTCATGGGGGTGAGGGGTGCGGCAGGGAAAAAATGACTCTGCTGCTGACTTGGCCTATGGTTTTATCGGGAGCTACGGGCCAGGGGCCCAGCGACAGGACCAGCCTCATTTGCAGTAACCAACGCTGCGAGCTGCTGGCCCTGTACCAGGTCTGCCCACCTGATAACCGCTCAGGGCAGCAACATGAAAGCCCTAGGCATAAGACCCAGAAAGGGTCTTAGATGTAATGCTGGATAAAGTAAGAGAAATCTAGAACGCTTTCCCATTCCAAAGAAATTCCAAAACATGCGAAACTTTAACCCTAAGAAAGACAATCAACAATTCAAATAGAAATTCACTTTTCGGGGGGGGGGGGGCGCCTGGGTGGCTCAGTTGTTAAGTGTCTGCCTTCAGCTCAGGTCATGATCCCAGTGTCCTGGGATAGAGCCCCGCATCGGGCTCCCTGCTTGGTGGGAAG